GTCTACTTCACAATTTATTGAACATAGCTTGAGTAAGCTCCCTGTTCCGAGTCAGGACAGTTCATGTTTCCAAAGCAAGTAAAGAGGAACACAAGTCCTGATAAAGTACTAGTTTCAGTTGCAAGAAAGCCTATGCTAGCTCATACTGCAAGGCTTATTTGAGCTTGGCGTTCGCTCAAGCTCAATTTAGAGATTTTTTTTAAAGCCCATAGGGGCGTTAGATACAAAGAGCTATTAATCTCAAAACCGCATTTTGCGTCGTTTTACTTTATGTGTTGGTTCACTTTTCAAACTGTTGCCAGCAAATATTATCCCCATGAATTATATTTAAAGAAACTAAATAACGAAGAATCTGCATGAATGCGTAAATGTTTCTCGCAGTGTGAAAAACAAAGGTACCTAGAGCCATCCAATTTTGAATGACGTAGTCCTCAAACCGAAATGGACACTTGTAAGCCCGAATTTTGAATTTGTTTTATTATCTATTTCAAATTTTATGAAACTTAAACGAATTTTTGATTAACAAATTCGACGATTTCAAAGCGAGCAACGGAAACACGGTACGGAAAAAAAAATTATCTGCAGAGCGCAAGACTGTGTATCCGCAATTCTAAAAGTATGCTGTTTTTAAATATTTTATTATATTGCTGTTGAATTGAATTTTATGTGGCTTCAGTGCGAAGAACATGATATTTTATAATTTAAGGCAATACACAAAACGTTAAAAAAATCAATTTTAGGCGTAACATAAAATCTGAAAGCTTGCAGATAATCTTTAAAAAAAATTAAATTAAATTTACTGTAAGATGTGCGAATATTAATGTCAGGTTCGTTGATCAATTGACTATAATAAAGCACGCTATGTAATTTGCTTTAGGTAGGATGGTTTTGTTGAAGGTATTCTAAATTTCGTATTGAAGTTTGAGGTAGGAAAAAAGAGACTCTACTTAGAGCTATAACTCAGACAGCCCATTTGCCAGGGATGGGACTAAGACAGAATGCGAGAGTTACCAATCGGATTGGTAATATTGCAGATGCAAACATTGACAGAAAATCCAGGAGCATAAAATTAGTATTTAGTGGTTCTAAGAAACGTATTCTCATTTAGGAATATCTCTTAAAGTAAAACATTTAAGTTTTATTTAACAAATAGAAAGAATTATTATTCGATCCATGTTAAAAGTGAAGAAAAATAAAATGAAGAAGCTAAAACATTCAGTGCAATTAACAGAAATGTAAAACACCATGTTTAATTTGCGTGTATGCTACGATCTACGTAGGATTCTTAATGTAAATTAAGAGTTATTAAGAAGTTCGAGGGTTACTAGTAAACTGACTGAAGCAGAAATTTAGCGCAAATTTTTTATAATGAAACCACAACCCTAATTTGTATTATGTAAAGTATCTGATATTTCATGTTACAGGACAGCCCTTGCCAAACAATTTTTATAAATAGATATATGTGCCAATATCGTTGCCTAGACACAGATAAATTAAGAGTGTTATTATTAACGCTTATAACAGTACTCTTGTTTTCAAAGTAAGTAAATAGGGATATGCAATGGACATTCAAGCACAAATGCTGTTAAAGACATTTATCAACAGATAACCGAATTATATTGAAAAATTAATACCATTGGACTTAAGTAAATTAAAAGAATCAGCTTATAACTTAGCACTTTACTATCCCAGTGATATAAATGATACAGCAATTCAGTCAAAAATACCTAGTTTTTTTAAAAATATGCTAATTAAATAGTTCCCGACACAAAAGCAAGACTAGATACGACACAAGATCAGATCTTTTAAAAATAATTCATAAAAATAGTTTAATTTTATTGTATTCAAATTTAGAAATAAAGTTTAGAAACACTACGCACTAGTAAACTAAGTAAAACTTGAATGTTGCCAGTTACTGTTGCTAGTGGAGAAAGAAGTCTAAAACAATTTAATGTGGTATAAAAAAGTAAAATCTGAAAGATTTTACACTACGCACAAAGGGACATATTTTTTGTTGCCTTTATTTATTAAATATCATGTTCTTCGCACTTAAACCATAAAATTCAGCTCAGCAGCGACATCCTAAAATAATTTTATAAAGAGCATATCTTTAGTATTTCCGATACATAGCCTCGTGCGCTAAAGATAAAAGTTTTTTTTTTTCCTACAGTGTTGTCATTGCTCGCTTTAAAAACGTAGAATTTGTTAATCAAAATCAAGTGATACAAAATGTGAAATCAATAATAAAACAAATTTCAAATCAGGGCATCCGGATGTCCATATTCGGTGGAGAATTACGTTATTCCAAATTGGTTGGCTCTATATCACAATATGAGTAACATAAATACATTTATGCAGATTCTTCATTATTTAATTTCTTTAAATATAACATAGGGCGATAATATATGGTGACAACAATTTGAAAAGTGAACCGACATTTACCGTCAACCAACACAAAATGCCAAAACGAAATTGATAGTCATTCAGGGCTAACTGCCTCTTTGGGCTAAAAAATTATATACAATTTTCACTTGGCCGAGGAAAGCTTTCAAACATGGCCATTAGCTCCATAGAACATGAATTGAGAAAGAGAGTAGAATTAAAAAAAGCATTATTCATGTTTTTGATAAAAGCCAAACAAAATTCGTTAATAGTTTGCTTGAAAAATTTATATAATCCTGTTTATATTACTTACGTTATTTTTTATATTGTTTCAATTCTATGTGCCACTTATCAAAAGAAAATTTTAGTACTCTTCACTTCAAAATTATAATTCATTAATGTGTGTGAATATATTTCAAAACTATAATTCATTAATGATAAACTGTGTCATTTTTCTGTGTGTAGAAAGCTACGATTAGATATTATTGTATTATGATTCGAAATAGTTATCTTTAATGAATATAAAACTATACACATATAGTTAAATAATATTGAATATGTGTGAACAATATATATGCAATATATTTTTCTTCGCCTTTTTTATATATTTTATTTTTACTTCCTTTTACCAAGCAAGGAAGTATTGTAATCACGAAAAATTCCGGGTACCGTATTTGAACGAAGATATCCATTTTTAACGCTATCGAACGCAATTTAACGATGTTTGTTATTGCATGTCATCCACACGTAAGGACAGAATAAAGGACTCTTTTTCTCAAAACGAATTATAAAACTGATTTAAAATGGATTCAGAAGAAATTTTTTCGTGGCGTTTGTACGTTGCGTGTGTACGTATGTATGTATTTCGCATAACTCAAAAACGAAGAGCCTCAGAACATTGATATTCTGTACATATGACTGCTATATAACATATAGCTGTGCACCTCCCTCTTTACTTGCAATATATATATATATATATATACTCATTCTTTTAGTTGGATGAGTGAGTTCAGTTCTTTTATTCTGGTATGTTGGTAAATTGTGCATTTTTTGCTTTAAAAATTATTGAATTGTGTTATTCTTATTTTGTCAAGGTTTTTATCGCTTTGTTAATCTGCATGCAATAGTTCTAGAACTATCAACTATTTAAAAGTTGTTTAAGTGCGTCTAAGTCTCAAAACGCTTACTATAGCAGCCATATTTGTTTACATTTGAAACTTAGCAGAATAGTGAATGAAATCTTTCTGCACCTTCAGTGTCGTTTTGCCGAGTGGGAGAAAAGTAAACTTTCAATTTTGTACAAATATAATATCTGCCTTCTTGCCTGTTGGCCGAATTGCTTGTTTTCGCGTAGAAACTATAATTGTAATTGTAAAAATTGTTCTTTTAATTGTTTTAACTGTGTTTTGTGTTTAATGTTTTTCTATATCTTTCAATTTTTAATGAAAATATTTTGAGCTTTTATGCATTTTTTGGCTTGCTACGAACAGAATTAATTGAATGAGAAATATGTTTCTGATGAAATTCGAGGAAATAAGTTTAAATGAAATGCGGGGAAAAACTGCGTACAATTTAATATTCCGAAACAAGGGAGTCATGTGGTGTACACATCAGCGTTTTAAATTTTATTTATGTATTTATTGTTTTTTATTTATTTATTTTCATTTTAGCCCAAAGGGGCGTTAGCCTAGAAAGGCTCTTAGCCTCGAAACGGCATATTGCGTAGAATCACTTAAATGCGATGCATGACTTTTTAAATTGTTGCCACCAAATATTATCGCCCTGTATTATATTTAAAGAAATTGAATAACGAAGAATCTGCGTGAATGTGTGTATGTTTCTTGCATTGTGAAAAAACAGCGGTACCGAGAGTTATCAAATCTTGAATAACATAGTCCTCCACACGAAAAGCCCGAATTTGGAATTTGTTTTAGTCTCTATTTCATATTTTATTTTGTAAAACTTTAGCGATTTTTTATTAAAATACTAAGCAGTTTCAAAGCGAGCAGTGGAAACACTGTAGGGAATAAAGCATATTTATCTCCAGCGAGCGGGACTGTCTAATGGAAATTATAAAGATATGCTGTTTTTAAATATTTTTAGCCCAAAGTGGCATCAGTCTAAATGCTCTCGAAACGTGTATGTGTCTGTGATGAAACAAAACGCCCGTTTGACCGTAAGATAAAATCTGAAATTTTTCATTTTTACGTATTTATTTTTTCATATTTGTTCATCAAATATCCTGACACCTTGCAGCGCATATAAGGGCATGCATCTGCCGCTATCCTCAGGTGAACACACATGTAGGCACTACTCTACAACAGGATCATAAATTATTAGTAGCTTTAGCTACTGAATTTTATTGGTTTCATAAATGAAAGAAAAGCTTTCAAAGTAAATATAATACTTCGTATTCAATAGGATTTGCCATAGCAATATTTGTTCGAAATTAAAAGGCTCTGAGTAGACATCGGGAAGAATTTATTATGTTATTTATCCCAGTGCTGGAGACGTATGAATTTAATATGTTTAAGTGAAAACATTTCCTGCTGGAAAATTCAGACTTCGACTGGAATCACAGCTGTTCTGAAAGTATTAGGTTCAAGGAGAAGAGTTAACGGCATTTATTGTGAAAAATGCTGAAGTTGGTAAACTGCTAAACGGAAGAAACCGCAGGTGAAAGTAATACATTTGGATTATTTTAAGTTTGCCTCCCTATGTTTCGGTACTGAGAATTCCCCATGCGTTGGATGAATTGTTTGAGATAGCTGTGAAATATAAAAGTCGGCAAGTGGTTGAAAATCGTACGCTCGAATTCGATGATAGATAGAGCTGTTGTTACAAGAATAGATTTGCTACAATAGTTATGGTAGATTTGGTGGAAGAGAGAGCTATGTATACCACCAGAATAGTTTGTCAAGCAGTTCGTAATAAGCAGATGAACATTCATATATTTAGTCGGCATAATAATCACCAGTAACACGATTGATGAGAACGCTCACAATCTGCGCGAAGGTTTGAAGCTTCGAAAGAAAGCAAACTTAAAACGTGAATGCATCTAAATACAAATTTACGACTAAAGAACTTCGTATTTGGGGTGCGAGACTTTATCGAGAAAAGAGAGTTGAAAATTATTACAAAAAAAAAAAAAAAAATACATACTGCCGAATACGACAAAGAAAATAATTTCGTTTGTTTCGCATGTGCCCATATTATGGAAAACTGATCAGGGATTTCTGTATAGATTGAAAAGCCCATATTAAATCTCAAAAGGAAAGAGATAAGTTTGTCAGTGGAGGCTACTACAACTTTGGAAAAACTCAAAGCGGCTTCGATCCAAGCTCCTATATTGTAATTTTTTATCTCGAAGGAAGTTAGAAATAGCATTAGATGAATTTGATTTTGCAGTAGGGGCTCTGCTTATGCAATATGGTAAGCCGATAGCATTATTTAGTAAAACCTTTAATAATACTTAAATAAATGACACCGCTACTGGGGGTACTGTTAACTGTGCAAAGATTTAAAGTGGATTTAGGCAAAAAACCAGTAATTACTACAATCATTGACCTAGATTCATGAAAGAATTTTTTGCCGATACTAATAAGATGAACTCTGAAATTGCAAGAGTATAACTTAAAAATTAAGGTTACTCCAGAGAAAGAAAACTTTATGATCGATGTGTATTTTAAATAACAAACACTAAATTAGATAATGGGGAATGAAGAAATAAGATGCGCCGTGCTAACGTCAGGAATTTTGTACTCGCGAGAAACAGTTATAAAATAAATGATGGCGGAGTCGAGTTTAAAAACATTTGCACATATTTAAAGAATCTTGATAATTTTAAACATTTTTTGAACATCGCTGGAATTAAAAAGAGCGTCGCAAAACATGAAATTATCGACGACCTTTCGTTTTATACGAATGACAAAAACAAAAGCATACTTGTATGACGTGCCATTGTTAAGCCGTCTTAGAGTAAGAAAAATAGGATAAGAGAATCATTTTACTTCCATCACTTGAAAAGATTTCTAACTGAGTATGCCCATTTCTGTAACTTCCAATTAATTAACGCTATTAATTGTAACCTCGCCAGGACCCTAAATAACCACCACTTTCACTAATGAAATTCTCAGAACTTATTGGTTAGGTCATTACGTTGTAGAGACATTAGGTTAATTTCGATGCCGGAGAGGGGAAAAATTAGCAACGCCTTCGCCAGGAATCGAACCACGGACCTCTGGAATATGCGCCCAGCGTGCAGACCACCACACCACGAAGGCACGCCAAGAAGGCGGGAGAAATACCTTACAACGTTCGCAGTGAAAAACATAAAAACAGACATTTAGTGATGGTTAATCGTTTCTCGAAATTGATGGAATTAGCTTTCCTTCAGAGGACATTAACGAGAACTGTCGCAGATTCATTTCTAAAGAAATTTATCTAAAAATAAGAGGTTCAAATAAAAGTAGTAATAGTTCACAATCCATAAGTCAAATTTTTGAGGAAATGCGCGCAAGCCTTGATATGAAGCATTTTACAATTGTTCTTTATTGAAGTCGAATATGGCATCGGCGATCGGGAAACTAGAAACATAATTTAAAATATCCACAATTATGTAACAAATTACCATTTACATTTGGACAGCTGCGTCAATGAGCTCGTCACATCCGCAGAATTACTTTTAGGTAGGAGCTGATTTTATCTTTCGATAAAATGCCTTTTGTGGAAAGAAGATCAGAAGACATTAAAACGAAAGATATTCAGAAATCAGTCGATTACGCAACTAATACTTTAGAAAAAACTGGCGCCAAGAAAAACTCTATTATGATAGGAAAAGGCGCGAGAAAAATTTTAATGTTGGGGATAAAGTGCTGAAATTAAAGCATTCCTTATCTTCAGTACCGGAGGCCAGGGTTGTAAAGTTCTGTCACAAGTTTTTCGACGCTTTTTGGTTGAACGCGTAAGAGAGAGAGCTGTACTTAAAAACGGAATGAAGGCAAAGGGAAATAACGTTAAATACCGATCAGGTCAACATTACTGTGAAAGAGTGGGTAGACATTGATTAGAGAAGTTTTAGGAGAAGTCCGTCGAATAAGCAATGCAGGCCCGTTAGGTGTAAATCAGACCAGAGATAGGACAGCGGAAGAAGCGGCTGTGCTTAGGTTTGAGGTGAGAGCTTCTTCAAGTAAAATAGAGACGGCCGGCAAAGGGGAAGACAAAAAGGTTCAAGGATTGAAGATTTCTTAAGGGGAATAATACAGAGGAAAGAAGGACCCAAGTGTCAGTACAAAAGTTCAAAGCCTAGGACGAGCCGTGACCAGCCGTGTCACCAACTGAGGAAAAGACCAAAACAGGAATTCATCAACAAATCAAACGATTCTGCGAACAGCCATGCAGAAGGAAATCTGCGAAGTCAGAATCAGTCAACAGTCCAACCTGGGATGCCCGATGAAGTGACTCAAACAACCAGAAGCCATGGAATGTCATAGTATATCCAGACGGACGACTGCACGTAAAGAGTGAGATATAAAGAAGAAAAGATACTTACACTAGGACCCAGACCATCAGTTGAGAAACATAATTAGATTGAACAAGGCCTAGTGATCGACATGGGAGGAATTTCTCCATAACAGAACGCTTAACTATAGAAGATAAAGAAAGTAAGCTTCTACAATCAAAGACAGGTAAATGCAAATTTATTTATTTCGGTTTTTAAGAAGAATCTTACTTTATGTTTAGATCCAATTTTTGTTAGATCACAAGTTGCCAGTATGCTTTACTAGCAGTAATCATTTGTCCTCAGCCAGCGGAAATGACGTCACAAAAAAGGGGCATAGCTGCCGCCATCTTGGAATCACTCGACAACCGGAAGCGAAGTTTGATGGTGCATGACAGCTTTCCTTTCGTGGCAATGACAATATTTTTTCAAAGTTTTATTTTCGTGACAACGACGATGTTTTTCGTTTTTGTGGCAACGACTTCTTAAACCACGTGTTTAAAATTATATCAATTTTCCTATATTATTTTTAATTATTTAACAACGCATCAGTGAATATTTATTCATTTTAATTGACTTATATTTTCAATAAGAATACCTTTCCCATGAGATTTAAAAAGCTGGGATTCGAACCTGACACCACTTGCACAGATAACGCGCACTTTACTATGGAATCTTTCATACACACACACTATTGGAATTATCCGGTCCCAAGACTAGAGTAACGTCCTATCACAAGCTTGTTAAACTTACATAAACTTGCTCCGACAAGACGATCCCATCACTAGCATCGTCGAGTCGAAATATCGTACTTTCTACCAAGTACGTTTGAGTAATACACAGACACCAATTTTTTGGCCTTGTCCAGCAGTTAAAACAACTATAATGTTAATAAACTGGACGAGTGAACCTGCGGAAGTCTGTTCCAAAACTCTTTCACGCCTTTTTGCATCCACGACTGAGAAACGATATTTCCATAAGAACCAATCAGTCTTGTTAACAATATACCTTCTGTTTCAGCCAATCAAACGTGCTTATTTCTTGAAGTGGACATAGGTTTATTTTGACTTTTTAAGGCACTATTTTAAATTTATTCTTTCCTGTTTTAATTGTAAGATTTGTCTCACATTTTAAATTTCTCTTACAAGCATATTGTTTTGTTTTCTTTTTCCTTCACGTTTTTACTAAACTAAATTTATGAAACTTTATTCTACTTTCTTACTTTTTGCAAATTTAAAGTTTGCTTCTAATTTAATGTTCATTATTACATTATTATTCAGATTAATGTTCATTATTCTAATTTCTGCAAAATGACATTCTAATTTCTTCAAAAGTAAATTTATCTTTTACATTTATTTTCACTAATTTTATTTTACAAATTTTTTTTTCTACATTTTTTTCCTTTTCACATTTTTACTTTAAAAAGTTTTTATATTTACTTTTACAAAGTTTTTCTTCAGCTTAGGTTTTTTCCTTTCACATTTTATTTCACACTTTATTATTCTATTCCTTTATTATCCTTTCACATTTTTATTATCTATTTTTTTATTTTACAAAAATAGTATTAATTTTTATGAGTTTAATTTTTTTCACTTTTCTATTTCACGAACGCAGTTTTTGTTTTGATATTTTTATATTAAAAGAAAGTATAGTTTATTTTTTATTAATGGCATCAATTCTGAATTAAATTTCTTCAAAAATAAAAGGTATACAAATTCTTACAATTAAGTCATTTTTTGAAATACAAAAAAAGGAACACTTGAATAAATAATTTAATGTATTCAGGTTTAAACTATATTCTATCAAAATGTTTAATAGTGATCAGGTTTTCTTTAGTTTGAGGACTTCTAATCTTATGCATTTTACTAAAAATGATAATTTAAATATGAAAGTATTACATGCCATTGTGATGGATTGCAGTCAAAGTAAGTTTACTATTGCTATTTTAACATTCAGCATTCCATAGAACCACCAGTATACGCACAGATATCAGAATTACTTTTCCTTCTACCTGAAATCATTTATAAAAAATATTTAGGAGAGGTTTCCCTTAATTAGAAATATCTGAGCATACATGCATAGCCCAGAAAATAAAAAAACTAAGCCAAGAACAATGTGGGACACGTAAAATATCTCTTTCGTCTTGCTAAGATGTTCTTTACTGTTACAGAAAATGACACGAGATTGACAAGCACTTGGACATAGAGAAGAGTCGCGGTCGAGAGATCGCGCCTCTGTTTTTCTTTCTTGGGGATTCTATGGCTTCCCAAGGGCCGATCAGATACAACCACGTGATCAACATGTAGCTGCTATGAATGGCGTCTTCCAGGCAGACACCTATTTGCAACACAGGGCTCTAAGAAACCAGGTGAGTACATCCTTCTTACTTACTCCCTCTTAGAATTCCTTGCAATAACTTTCATTCATGTTAGAGCATTTTTCCGATAAATGGCATGCTGATATACTGTATTATATTATTTTCTGGTAAGACTTTCAGTCTGGAAAACGGAATCATTTTTGTTAAATATTTCAAGCAAAGTTTTTATCTGCTTATAATGCTTAAGAATAACAAATAATGCCGAGAATATAAGAAAAGTGAATACAGTTGCTCTCTTTATGATACTTTTATGATGTTCATCATGGGCTCAAAACTTCAAGCTTCTTTCAAAGACTTTTAGAAAGTAATTAAAATATGAGAAGAAATTATATTTGGTTTTTGATAGATTTCTTAATTATCTTCAGCTTCATCTGACTAATAATCATAGGTCTTCGTGTTTAGTAAAATATTCTAATAAACAGATCATAGTTACATAGCTCTGTAAATGCTGGACAGAATATGCTTGAAGGAGCTAACAGAAACCTGTTGTAACGTATTTGCGTTGCTACGCTACCAACATAATTCCACTAAGAAATGTAAGTAACCGCAGACGATTATCTGCAAAAAATATCCGCAGACGATGCGCGCGCTTAAAAATGTTTTTCAGTTATTCTGTAAGTTGACTAATAAAGTTTGTTATTCGTTCAAAAAAGGAGAAAGTTCTTTAAAACTTCATTACAGACGTATACAAGAATAAATATCTACATATAAAATGTAATATTCAATATTACACTGTCTATATTTGTATTAAACAGAGGCTGTTCGCACATTTTTAGACAACTTTCGTTATATAATCACAGAAATACCTTACCTAATATTTTTATGTTTTAAATGTTTCATTTGATAACCCTTATTCTTCGTTATCTTTATGCACCGTAATTTCCAAGACAATAAAGCATTTTCTGGTGTCGGAAGAGGTATTTTATCCAATTGCTCTCAAACAGCTTTCCAAAGTCTAAGAAGGCTGCAGGTCGACGTTTGAACAATCCGCTTTTTAAAAGTCCAAACGTGCAAAAATATATTAGTGACAGATCAGAAGATTTAGTAGGGATATGAGGGAAGGGTATGCCCTTGACACTCGTTTCCTCGTTTCTTGTTCCATTTTCCCAGAAAATTAGCAGTAGACTGATATGTGCCATTGCTTTGCTTTGTCTTGATGCAATTCTACTGATTGTAAGCACTGTGTGTAAGCAGAAGTTATTTCATATTTGAAAATTGAGTGTAAAATATATTTTTGATAATATGAGGAGTAGATCTTAATTTTTTTTTCCACTCTTTTTTTTTTTTTTTTCCAATTTTCCGTTATATGAAACTAGAAAACCCGGCGGTCATACGAAATGACCGGTGTTCTAGATACACTGCATTTCATAATGTAAATTTTAAACTTACAACTTCCCGGGAGTTATTTTTATTGTCCGGAGGCGGTTTGCGAATACTTCCAATGTCGAGATTTTTTCGTATGACGTTTTAGAACATCGAAGTTTACACACCTTTGATGAGAAAACTAAGTTTAAACAGCGTCTACTCTTTCTGCCTATTTAGCCCAAAGGAGACTGAGAAGTTTTTACTCTCAAAACGGCATTTTGTGGCGTTTCATTATAAATAGCGAATCACTTTCTAAATTGTTGCCACCAAATATTATCGCCCTGCATTATATTTAAAGAAATTAAATAATGAAGAATCTGCGTGAATGTACGTTTCTCGCATTGTGAAAAACCGACGCTACCTAGAGCCATCCAATTTTGTATAACGTAACGCTCCACCGAACATGGGAACCTCGAAGCCCGAATTTTGAATTTGTTTTATTATCTGTTTCATATTTTGTAAAACTTAAAGGAATTTCTGATTAACGAACTCAACGATTTCAAAGCAAGCAATGGCAATACTGCACGGAAAAAAACGTTTTTATCTCACGAGACTGTCTATCTGATATTTTAAAGATATGCTGTTTGTTAAATATTTTGAGGTATTGCTGGTGAATTGAATTTTATGTGGTTTAAGTGCGAAGAATATGATATTTAATAAATAAAGATAACACACAAAACGTTAAAAAAATGCTCTTTAAGCGTAATATAAAATCTGAAAACTTTCATAATTTTATTTTTTGTTTATTATATTAGTAAATATCTTATAGTGAACTAACGTTGAATTTCCAGGATATATATTTATTTTACTACGTACGTAATCCTGATCATTCTGAAATCAAGACTTATATCGTTTTTGTAATTTCGCGAAAGTTGACTGATTGTTGGTGCAATCTGAAATATCTAAAACATTATTCACGATAGACAATTTGCTCTGCTCAGTATACACTAGGGAGAAATATATAAGCCGAGTTCTTGAGTATTCTTTTTACCTTTAAAATTGTATGTAAATCAAATCTAATGTAATCGAAAATGCAGGTTCTTGAATTACAGTGCTGAACTTAAAATTGCTGATTCACTTTTTATGACTCCTATTCTTTGATTCGCTCAGCTTAAGTGGTACGTGAAATGTCGAAATTATACATTTCTTTAACTTTGCTACTTGTGGCATCATTACCTATTCACCGTCATTGCATATTTAAATGGAAGCTATGACCTTGGCAATTTGATAAAGAAAGCTAAAGTCATATTTCTAGGTTTCGGAACGAAGACGAAGAAGTCATTTGTGTCTTGGGTTCTGTTTGAGCTAGAATTCTAAAACGAAATTAATGAAGAAACGTAAGGCATCCGGAATACGTTTCCTGCTAGACTGAATTAAGAGATTTCTGATTCGGATAATCAGTAATAATTGATGGATAACTTTCAGTCAAAACATTTTATGTACAGTTGTTTTTATTTTCGTAGAATTTTAGAACGTTTTGTAACGAAAATGTTGTTCCGTGTGTACGGGTTCGTAATGGATTGAATGCACACAAAACCTATGATAGCTTTATTTTCCGATGCACAGAACGGATGATAAATTTATTTTCTGAAAAGAAACACGTCATAGTTCTGGTACTTTTCACTCGTACAGCTAGCTGTTCTTAGTATGAGAGAAAACAGTTAGTAGTTACCACCTCGAGTTACTCAGAATGTTAAATACATGACAGTATGAAAAGCCTGAAATACATAAGGTCGCACATTCTCTCAATACCCTGACCTAAACTCTGAACTCAATTCTCAATTGATGCTGTCTCCGGTCCTCCCCGTCTGGCGAGAAAATTTACCTTCGTTTTCTCGAAATAGCTGGAAGGCATACACAGTAACAGTTACATAGGAATCGGAACAGTTACATAGGTATAGGACCAAAATGTCGCCCAATGGTGATCAGATTTGGCGACGTGTGGCCGTCTGGAAATAGAACACCAGAGACGAGCTCCTGACCTGGTATAAGCCGTACAGGAATTTTATGTTCGATGTTTCGAACACTATACATGCCGGCACAGCCCCCACGGTCTCCACTGGGCTTTATACAAAGCATTGGACAGAGTTTGAACGTTAATGCAAATACGTAGCTAAGTTTTCTTTTCGTCGATACCTTTTGGGCTTCCAGCACCACTCCGATATCTGGTGTTTGGTGCTTCGATACTTAGTGCTCCATCCGCTAATGTCGGTCCCCTTCGTAGGGACCGATGTTACCAAATCACAAAGCATTGGTCAAAAGTATCGACCATCTAGCTGCACTACAACCAACAGAGCACACATGACAGTACCATATGGACCCTGAATCAGCCATCGCCAGCGTTGGTTCTGGTCCTGTGAAGACTGATCATATACCCTGTGGCCGAGAGTGCCTAGATACAGATACTAACCACTGCCTAGGTATAGATCCTAACCAGCTTCCCAGATATTCACGTGAGTCTACCTCCCGGAGGGGGACGACCAAATCTGGAGACAAAAATTAGTCGCCAATATTTAATGGCCTTACTCCTGTAATCTTATTTTTACGATGAAGCTTCGTTTTCTGATGCCTTTCGTGTTACATTATACAAGCTATGCTACGGTTTATATATAATTTCACTGAAAGTCTTTACATATATACAAAATTTACAACTGTATCAATAAGCAAATGCTTGTTCTTCGATGCATTTGTTTTGCCCTCATATTTAGAGAACTGACGGTACTGGTATTTTTGTATGTGATAATACATGTTTTTGTGGGCCGTTATTCATTCTTTAATTCTTTCTCTCTCTGTGAATATTTATATATGTTAAACAATACTTATTCCATGGCTTTTGAACGAATCGTATATGCGTTGTAAAACATGTTCATTGTTGTGTCTTTCATGACCAGAGCATATGATAATTAGCAAATGAAAATCTTCAAAACTGATTTCCTGGTATTTTCAAAATTTTCATAATGAGACTTACATTGTTAAAGGATAAGCATTTTAATATGTACGCCTACGTGTGTATAACCCCTAAGTACGTACTATGAGGGTGGACAGGCTTTGCTCCGGCCATGCCGAGTGTTTCTACATTGCTCTGTTTTGTATCGAAATAGTTAACTAAATGTACCTAAACATTCTCTTGTTCTCAGTGTAACAGTATAGTTCACTACTTAAAGCATATTTTCATTATGTTTACTGCTTTATCAGTGTTGAGTGGTTAAGACAGTGAATACTAGAAGTTTGAGTTTAATTTATTTCCAAACCCGGCCGCATGACATCGTGATGTACTCCTTCTATAACGTGAATACGAGCCTTAGAAAATCCTTCAGGAAGGCATCACTTTCCTTAAGTAGAGAGCCCCCTTGTAAGTAGTTTACGTTCAAATTATCTAACCGAATTATTGCGCCTACGTACCGTCCACGATTATCAAAACTTTGAAAGAATTTAACGGTTATTCTATAAACACATAACGCCGGCTATCTCTAAAAGTATTTATTAAAGAACGGAGGAACAGTTACAGAATATATATATGTCAAAATAGAACATACAGCAAAACGGACTGCCTAACATTTACAATTAACGTTTTAAGTCACAGAGGCATAAAATTGGAGAACCTATCCTCATTGCAGCTGGATGTC